CTCCGCCGCCCCCGGGGCAGAGCCGGGTTTGGGCTGCACTGACAGCGCGTGGGCACGAAGCCCCGTAATGAAGATGCTCCACCGAGACCTTAGAGGCTCTCCCACCGACTTGGCGCCTGGCGGTGGGGGGCGGGTGGTTCGGCAGGTATCGCTCAGCGGTGTGTTTGTACCAGTGTAGGTCTGTAGAGTAGCTCAGAGCATAGTCCCTATCTAGAATGGAGCTGTGAAATTGACAAAAATTGATTCCCCAGGTAGGCTGTTGCCCGGCCTCCATTCCGGTCCGTGTTGCCACCCAGCCTTCTGGCTCCACATTTCCCACCAGGAGCATGGCAACTGATTTGACTCTGAGCTCAAAGCTGGGCTTCTCAGCTCCCACTGGGGATGGTCCAGCCACCCCAAGCTTCTCAGCTCCTCACTTGCTGCTGAGAATGGGGCACTTGACCAGACACCTGGCATGGATCACCCAGCTGGGAGCCAAGCAACCCACCTAGGCTCTCATTGCCGTAGTTAATACACCTTCCAGAGAGGCAGTAGCTGGTTTGATGGAAGAATTCTTGTGTTAACCTGGCACAATCTACACTGGTGAGTTAGGTCAGTGTAGTTACATCTCTCTGGATTTTTTTCATACCTATAAATTCCTAGTGTGGACCAGGCCTCTGTTATAAATCAGGGATTTATCTGCATAGACTAGGGATGTTAAATATCAGTTAATTGAATAGTTGAGTAACCTCATGAATTCTTATGTTACTCAACTATTCTGTAGTCCCCAGGGGTGGGGCTGGGAGCCATTTGCGCTCTGGCCCTAGTCCCAAGAAGACCCCTTCCACTCCGCACTGCTTCCTCTGTATCTAAGACAGCAACGCAGGATGCCAGGCAGAAGCTGGTCCATGAGGGGAGCCAGTTTAAAAACCAACTTTCCTCACGGACAGGCTGCTTATTGCAGTAGTTCAGAACAGTGATGCAGTACATTCAGGATTCACTGGTGTGGCACCCTGACAGATCGCCTGCTCTGTCAGTGATGATAAACGTTCATCTGCATGCATTTTTTTATGCTCTCTCAGTATATTGTGCCAGCTTTGTGCAGATAGCTAGCATAGTAGACTTCACAAGAGCCCTGACAGATCGCCTGCTCTGTCAGTGATGATAAACGTTCATCTGCATGCATTTTTTTATGCTCTCTCAGTATATTGTGCCAGCTTTGTGCAGATAGCTAGCATAGTAGACTTCACAAGAGTCCCCAAAGACCACAGACTCAAATAAGCTATGAAGGCACCCAAGTCAGGTTTATTGTCGAACAAAGTACGTTAATAATTGTTGGTAGCAAGATAACCTCCAAGCCCTTACATATTTGTACCCAGGATAATGGATTCAAGTTGTTTGGCAGTATGGATTTCGTTATTGTCCTGTAGGCCGGCCAAAGAGTTAAGTGAGGTACTCCAACATTTATAGACAGAATTGAACAATCTGTGATACACACCACACATATCATCTTACATATTAATTACACATTTGGTACCTCCCCTTGTAGTTTCTTCCAAAGCATTCCTATCCACTACCCGTTGTTATGCTTTCACTCTTGTTGTTTCACACTGTTTTATCATGTACTCAGCTGGGAGTCCCTGTACTGTTCTGATGGAATACATACTTGATGTGCTGTTATCAGTGCTAGCAGTTCTAGTGCCAAGAGACATTGACTTGCAGGCAAACATTTGCATTTGATATGACCAGTCTGTTACTCATAGTATAATTCATGCTTACTTTGGTTCAAGTGCCAGGCCCATGCTTTGGGCTCTTTCTCCTACACCTGTCTCCTTGCACTGCTGCCTCTGATACAGAGGCAGCAGCGCAGGATGGCAGCAGCCCCTGTCTAGTGGGAGGGAGGGTGGTTGAGCTCCTGGACCTGACTTGAGCCAGAACTGAGTCAGGCTGCCTGTCTGCCTGGCTCCTAATACACTTTAAATGCAGAGCTGCAGTGGGGTAGGTCCTGGACCCTTGTGCAAGCCAGGACTGAGCTGGGCTGCTGGCCAGTCGGCTTAAAAATTTACTGGCCAGGGGGATGGAATACGTGTTGTCTATAGCATTAACCAGTAAGCTTTTGCTTATCGGTTAATCGACTACACTATTACATCCCTAGCCTAGACACAATGTTTTGACTTATGACTTTGGAAGCAGCTCTTTTGTGGATTTCTTTGTAACAGTATTCTCACTATCCCAATGCCTGATTTCCAAAATGTTTTATTTGATTGTGAATTAGTGATCTTTGGTTTCTTTTCTTATGGTCTACTGAATGTGAAACATTTTGGAAACTACATGCGGGGTGTGCCTATGTATGTGTGTGTGCATGCTCACGGTCTGCAGAATCATTTGGATAAGTAACAAAATTCATGTTTTAAAATAAAATGAGATATTTGTTATTAAAAAAAATGTGCAAAATTCAGTTACGCGAGACACATTTTTTTAAATAGGCATGAAAATTATGGTAAAGCTGAGGTGCCAACTGGTAAATTTTCATAACTTTGCAAGGCTATATAGTAAAGCCTTGGACTTAGTTAATGGATTTAATTTAGTGATCGGAGGTGCTTCTTATTTATGATAATTGCTATGGTCTACCAAATTCATGGTCAATTTGGGTCTATTTCACGGTCAGAGGATTTAAAAAATTGTAAATTTCATTATTTCCGCTATAAACATCTGAAATTTCATGGTGTTGTAATGATAGGGTCCTGACCCAAAAAGGAGTGTGTGTGGGGAGGGAGGGCGGGGGGAGCACATTGCAGGGTTATTATAGAGATTGTGATACTGCTACTTTTACTTCTAAGCTGCTGCCCGCAGATCTGGCCCCTCCATTCTCTTTGTCCCTTTCTGTTGGTGAAGTGCTATCTTCAGATCTGTGTGCCTGGCCAACCGCTGCTGCTCTCCAGCTGTACAGCTCTGAAGGCAGGGGAGAAGTAAGGGTGGCAATACCGTGATCCCCCAAAATAATCTTTCAACCTCCTCCAACATCCTTTTGGGTCAGGACCCCCAAATTAAGAAACATTTTTTCACATGTGACATCTGTATAATACAAGGGAGAAGCATACAAAAGACCAGATTCATGTTTCAAGAGTTAAATGGACCAGGTGGGAGGTCTGGCTGGGCTGGAATGACCCGCTGCAGTCAGGGGGCAGTGAGCCTCTGTGGTTGGGGATTGCTCTGGCTGGGCTGGAGTGTCCCTGCTTTCAGTGTGCTGGGGCCAGGCCCACTGCAATTGGGAGGTGCTCAGGGGGCACTCCGCCCATGGCGCACCCCACAGGGTTGGAGCAGCCCCCTTAATGGGTGAGGCTTGCCAATTAACCATTAACATCCCTACTACTCATTGAGTTAAAAGTGGTGCTGGATAAATATAGAGAGTAATGTGTAGTTACTCATTCTAAGGTACAAGTAATCAAATCTCAGATTCGTGGTATAAGATCATTGTCGTAAGGACTCAGAAAGGAATGTTTCCACATGGATACCATTGCATAAAGTAGTTATGCCTTGGTTTTTGTGTTCTTTTAAAGCATGAGGTTATTCCCCTGGAGCTGATGACAATTTACAGGACAGGATGCTTCAAGGATTTACAATACGGGATCAAAACACAAGGGCTGTGTCTACATTGGCACCCTTTTCCGGAAAAGGGATGCTAATGAGACAAGTTGGAATTGCAAATGCTGCGGGGGATTTAAATATCCCCCGCGTCGCATGAACATGGCTGCCGCTTTTTTCCGGCTCGGGGCTTTGCCAGAGAAAAGCGCCAGTCTTGACAGGATCTTTCAGAAAATAAAGCCTTTTCCGGAAGATCCCTTATTCCTCTTAAATTCAGGAATAAGGGATCTTCCGGAAAAGGCTTTATTTTCTGAAAGATCCTGTCAAGACTGGCGCTTTTCTCTGGCAAAGCCCCGAGCCGGAAAAAAGCGGCAGCCATGTTCATGCAAATGCTGCAGGGAATATTTAAATCCCCTGCGGCATTTGCAATTCCGACTTGTCTCATTAGCATTCCTTTTCCGGAAAAGGGTGCCAATGTAGACACAGCCCATATGTTATGAGGAAGAATTATTCCACAATTCCTCTTACATATTCTTGAGGAGAAAGTAGAGAGAGACAGATGCAATCTTGGCTTTTAATAGAGTCAAATGCAGAGTCTAAAAGATTACAAGTAACATTTTTAGGTTTGTGCTAAGCATTTCTATTTAAAGAACATATTATTTAACTTTTGAATATTTAGGGTCTGATTTTTACATAATGAGCTATCATCACAAACATTAATTGTGAACTGGAAGTCAGTTCCATATATTAAGAATTTGTTGGGTTAGTGTCTCTACTTGTTGATGATGCTAATTAGTCTATTAATACCAGTGTGAATATCTTGAGAAATTATGTTGCTTAATTATATCACTTTTTTTTCCAGGGTTTATTTCTACAGCTTCTGCTCCCCGACTGTCTACAGCTGAGATTGTTCAGATGCGCAATGAACTCTTTACTAAGGAGAAAACGAGGCAGTTGTCTCTGCATCCACGAATTGAGAAGATTGAAGTAAAATATGTTAGCAAATCTCACCCTGGCACTGTGTTTGTTATGAACAAAGCTTTGTCTACTCCATACAATTGTGCCATGCGTAAGTAAATGGAATCCCAAACTGTTTGTCCCATTGAGTATCACTCTGCCAATAAATCACTCTGCCAGTAAATGATCTTATCATCCAAACTGACAGATACTACTATTGTGGTCATTGCAAGGACAAACATAGTGATCCAGGTAACATTACATACAAATGTAGTATTTCAATTTGGCATGTATAAAATACAGATAGTGGGATTTAAGGAAAAAGTTACTTAATTTCCATGGGTTCTAATAACATTCCCACAAAAATCACACTTGCATTTTGATATAATAAGAGAAGAACTCTAAATTGCAAATTTTAGCTAGATTAGTGGGATATTGATAACAGTCTTGAATTCTTTCACTTCTTTTTAGACTTAAGTGAATGGCATTGTAAGAAATCAGTATTGGCACTTGTGGATGGAGAGCTATGGGACATGTACAGGCCTTTGACCAAATCGTGTGAAATTCAGTTTCTTACTTTCAAAGATGAAAATCCTGAGGAAGCGAACAAAGTAAGTCAATGTCTTATTTCTTTATGCAGTGTTTCTTGTCTGGACCTGATTCAGTTCCCATTTAAGTTTTTCCTATTAACTTCAGTGAGTAGTAGGGATGTAATAGTGTACTCGATTAACAATTAACCGATAAGCAAAAGCTTATAGGTTAATGCTATAGACTACATGAATTCCCTCCTCCCCACCCCACCACGCCAGTACATTTTTTAGCAGGCCAGCAAGCAGCCTGTCTCAGTGCTTCCTCCCCCACTCTCCCGGACTGGGGCTACTGCGATCCCTCAGAGGCAGCAGCATGAGGCGACAGGTAGCCAGTCCGTGAGGGGAGCTAGTTTTTAAACTGGCTCCCCTTGCAGACCAGCTCCTACCTGGCATCCTGTGCTGTTGTCTGTGATACAAAGGCAGGAGTACAGAGTGGCAGGAGGCACCTCGGGAGTGGGACCAGATTGCATTGACTGCTGGCCCCGCCCCTGGGGACACCTAGAATAGTCAAGTAACTGATAAGAATTCATGAGGTTACTCAACTATTATTAAAAATTTTACATCCCTAGTGAGTAAGTTAGGGCCTTAGGTAGTAGTTTGAATGAAATTCTAGCTCCACTGGTTACAGGAGAGAATGAAAATCGTTAAAATCACATTTATTGTTGGCTTTATATGCGTTGCAGTTTGGATGTGCTCTACTACCCCCACTGGTTTTTGTATCTGAATATAAAAGCAAAATCTTATTGCGTCTACACAGCACTCTAAACTCGAAATAAGATATACATAATTTGCTCTATGCAAATTGTATCTTATTTCAATTCTATTTCAAAATAGCTTATTTTGAAATTTGGTACGTCTGCACAGCGCCAAATTTCAAAATAATGCTTTATTTCAATACATCCCTTAACCCTCGTGGATTGAGGGTTATAGGAATGCCGTTATTTCAAAATAACGGATGTATTTAAAAAATACAGGGTAGCTATCCAGAAATAGCCCCGCTGTCTAGATGTACCCTTAGTCTGCAGTCTATAGAAACAAAAGATTGTATTAAAGCATGAAAACCATTAAGATATTAAGAAACCCTTTCACGCTCCTTATGAACAAATGATAAATACTGCAGCTGATTGGAATAACCATGTTGGGAAGCTTTATGAAAATGTAGTAAGATGCATAAAATAAGTTTTTAGTCTAAATTTTTGTAACTACAAATGTATAACCTAAACATTGTAATTTTAGTTTGCTAATAACCTTACACTATTTATATTGTGGTAGTGCCTAGGAGTCTAGTTGTTGAACAGATCTCCGCTTTGCTAGGCACTATACAGACAAAAAAAGTTTCTGCCTTAAGTAGCTTGTAATCTAAGTGCAGGACATGGGCCCACAGGTAAATACAGAAGAGTATTATAGTATACAAAGGACTGGGTGTCAGAGTTCCATTTCTGGTATGTGATCCTTCGCAAATCACTTAAATGCTCTGTCTTTTCTATATAACTTTCAAAGATCATGTGAGAAATATTAATTATATATTGCGCACTAAAAATAATACTTACTACTTTACATTTTTAATTAATAATATTTCAGGAAAGAATAATTTTGGCTGAAGAATGCCTAAGCAAGGGAAGAAATAAGTGGTAGTCTCCCAAACACCACGCTACAACTTAAGTTCCACATCTGTCTGCTTCCTTGGTTTCTGTGGGCATGATGTTAATGTTAATGTTTAAACTGTTAGTTGAGGCACCAAAGCAGTTGTTTTAGGTTGTCTAAAGATGCAAGTAGCACCTCTAACATTAGTTTATATCTGGTTCTCATTTTAAAGTTTTTCACATCAATAAGGGTATGTTTACACTACCACCCTAGTTCGAACTAGGGTGGTAGTGTAAACATACCCTTATTGATGTGAAAAACTTTAAAATGAGAACCAGATATAAACTAATGTTAGAGGTGCTACTTGCATCTTTAGACAACCTAAAACAACTGCTTTGGTGCCTCAACTAACAGTTTAAACATTAACATTAACATCATGCCCACAGAAACCAAGGAAGCAGACAGATGTGGAACTTAAGTTGTAGCGTGGTGTTTGGGAGACTACCACTTATTTCTTCCCTTGCTTAGGCATTCTTCAGCCAAAATTATTCTTTCCTGAAATATTATTAATTAAAAATGTAAAGTAGTAAGTATTATTTTTAGTGCGCAATATATAATTAATGGATTATCATCTTAATTATTAATGAACATTTAGATTCTGGACAACAAAATGTGGTTATTGGGGCAAAATACCATCCTGCAAAATCACTGTGTACTGTTCCAGTTCAACTCCTTCCTTGAAATTTTGTAAACTTGAGAACTTATATTAGGACTGAAGACATAAATATGCAGTATCTAGTGCTTCCTAGCCTCATCTTCAAAGTCCTTCGTAATCTCACCTCGCTACACTTCTCTTTTCACTTGCTATTGATTCCTCTCTCACTTGATATTGCTTGCATTCTTCTCTCCTTGCCGCTTCCTTTATCTCCTTGTCATGCTTTTGGCTTCACTGTCTTTCACACTGCCTTCTGTAACTTGAACAGTTTGCAAGATATTCTCAACATCCTCCTTCAGATCACTTCCTTGAAATACTTTTTTTCTAGAAGTCTTTTGTAGTTGGTTTTTTTTTTTCACATATAATTTTCATCCATCTTTCTTTACCTGTTCAATTGTTCTGTCTCTTAGCACATGATCCTGCAGCTAGCTCCACATAAGTGGGCTGTTGAAAATCAGGACAGTTGATTCAAAACTACTTCTGGAAGGGTACATGTGATCTGTTTTGTAAGACTTGTGTTTGTAGCACTATATAAATGATTCAAATAAAATATGTACATTGTATTAAAATAGTAATGCACAATGGAAACTAGGAAATACTTATGAGGAATTCAGTTTTAAAGGAAGAGTTGCTATTTGAATCTGGCTTGAATTGGCAACTTCGGTATAGTAAATTTGTTTGAAATGCTCTTTATTACAGGCCTATTGGCGTTCCTGTTCCATGATTCTGGCATGTGTGTTAAAGCAGGCATTCAAAGATGAATACTCTGTCAGTCTAATCAGAGCTCCGGAAGTGCCAGGTGATATAAATATTCTATTGTTGATAAGCTAGCATAGATCCAGGGCAGGTGTATGTCTGAGTATTAATATTATAACATTTAGGGACTCTCTTTCCTGAGAAGAGGGATTTATTATTCCTGCCTTAAAAAATGTGTCACTGTAATACCTGGGTGTTCTATACAGGCATTTTATGTCCAAAGAATATGTACCCAGGGAGCACAGCCCAGTTCTACCTTCTTTGTTCCCTTCTCCTGCATCGTTTCAAGGGTCAGACATCCAAGTGATGTTGGAGTGAGCTCACTAATGTTTTTGTGTTGATTGGGTTTTCAGAAATGTTCATCTGAACACTGTTGAAATCCCACTCAAAATTCCTGCATTAAGAAATGTTCTTGCATCATGTACTGAAGGTGGCAAGACTGAAAAGCCTGATTTCTGCTGACAGCAAGTTTATAGAGTATACAGGCAGTCCCCGAGTTACGCGGATCCGACTTGGTGACACCTGGGGTAGAGCACCTGGGGTGCTGCCAGGTTGGTCCCCGCAGCGCTGAGGTGCGGTGCTGCGGAGACCTACCCAGCAGCGCCCCAGCTGCTCTGTCCCAGGCGTCCAGATTCAGCTGCTGTTGAAACTGATCAGCAGCTGATTCCAGGAAGCCCAGGGCAAAGCAACTCTGCCTCGGGCTTCCTGTAGTCAGCCGCTGGTCAGTTTCAGCAGCAGCTGAATCTGGATGCCAGTTCCGACTTAAGTACAAATTCGACTTAAGTACAAACCTACAGTCCCTATCTTGTACGTAACCCGGGAACTGCCTGTACAGTGGCCCAGAATAATATAAAGTGAAGTCTGGCCTTTTTTAGTAAATGTTTCCTAGCTAATCACAGCTGCTTTGTCAAGTGCAGAAATAGACATGGTGGTCTCTGAGAACTGGGTTTAAGGCTTTTTAGAAGAGACTCAGGACCTTGAATTATAGATTGTATTTGAAAATCTAAGCAATCAGTTGCTTACTCATGTAAATTGCCCGAAGGCTTACTAGAAAACTAGCAGGTTATATTGGGAGATTTTTGCAATAATTAAGCATAATAGCAAAGCGCAGTGACACTTTCTGCTTAAAGATGTCTGAATTTTTTTAGGATTTTATCAGGGTGCTGTGCCCCCTGCTCACCACTCTCTCCCAACTCCCCTCTCCGGGTGTAGGCAACCCTAGCTTTCTCCATGGCTGCTAGGGAGGGCCAGGCTGAGGCATGGCAGCCTTGACATGCCCCCAACACCGCCCCACGCCGGCTGCCAGGCTCCTGACTCTACCTCCTCTTCTCTACGCTAGCCCCAGCTCTCCACCCCCTCCCCCTCGGCAGCCCAGGAGGGCTGAGATTGTGCTAGCCCTGGCTCCACTCAGTGGTTCTGCTCTCTTCCCCCAGCTGCTGGGGCGGGGGGCTGGGCTGGGCCACGGCCTCACCAGGCCTAGGTCTCTCCCCGTGGCTGCCAGGTGGTTGGGTTGGGCCAAGGCCGCAACGCGGTAGGCTTGGCTCCCCTTTGCTCACCGCTGAGAGGGGAGAAGGGAGGTGGGATGCAGAGTGATGTGATGATGCCACTCTGTCATCCCGCAGCACAAGTTTTTTTTATATGTAGAGAGAGAAATTGACAGAAGTAAATGTTTTTTATATTTTTAAAATGGTGTTCAGGTGGCTGAGAAGCCTTTCATTCTTGGGCTACTTAAGTGAAGCTTGAAATTGACATACTTCCAGATAGCCTGCCAAAGTGCATTATGTGACTTAATATGTGGCATACTAATGTGCAATATGGTTACATCTTGGATTGCTGCTCATTAAGTCTTCACATAGATAAGCCCTAGGTGTTTGATATATGTGAAGCTGGTAAGCAATCAGTGAGATTTTATATAACATACCATGACTCCAACTGACTATTAGACTCTAGTTAAGGATTCAGTGAATATACATGGAGACCATACTGTTTCCTTCCACCTCAGAATGTTGTCAGAGTTTCCTATTGAATTGCTGCTGCTTGTGTTACTTCCACTCTGGATAAATAAATGACTTCAGTCTTGTATAGTGCCTGTCACACACTTCTGTTACAATCCTCTGTACAAATGAAAAATGCAGAAATACTGTACTCCAAAGAGGAGGAGGGCATGATTGTATGTTGGACACATGGAAAAAACGGTTTCATACATGGTCCCAGAGATTGGAGTGTATACTTTTTGATGAGTGGATATAGATTACTATATTCATATGTTTAGAGTATTTATAATTTTTATTTTTGTGGAGAATACGTATTAGACAAACAGAATCTGTCATTTGACTTTATAGAACCCAAGCAGTCCTGTTAGGATTGTAATTCATGGATTTCAGTTTGTGATTATTTTTATATTTCTAGAACAGGAACAGCCTTGTTTTGGCTCTTATTTATTCTTGTAAGAATGTTGAGATCATGAAATAAAATGTATATTTTATTACAAGTAATAGCATTTTTCTGGCTCTGCAGTGATCTCAGGAGCTTTCTGTTATGATGTTGTTTTGGACAGCAGGCTTGATGACTGGAAACCAACACCAGTAAGTACAATTTATCTTCTGGAAAATACTTATTATAGTTTACTCCTTCTTTGTTTGAGTGACTTTCCTTTAACATGGAAATATTCTTGCTTTGCTGTGTCAACAGCTTAGAGACCCCTCTCTTGCAAACTGATTTCCCTGAGCAAACTTCTGCCTGCCACCATGTGGAGTATCATTAAATTAAAAGTACCTGTAGCTAGCACAGTTTTTCCTCCCAGTATGGAGCAGTGATGCACACTTTCTTAGAAATATTATGAGTGTTTTAAATTATAATTGTCCTTAATAGTTTTCACTTGCATGGCATGTTTCAGCAAAAGGCCTTAAAACGTTTACAGACCTTTAATTGCTAGGAGATGAAGTGAGAAAAGTTTTTCATTGGGCATGTGTTTTTTCTTATAATGCACAGTTACCGGAAGATGGAAAAAAAATGTCTGGCTAACAGGGCAATGTTAACAAAATACAGAATTTCACTTCAGTGCAAGCTGTAGTTTAATTTGCTCACCTTGAAAAACTTTCTAAGATAGTTGTGAACCATCTTTATTGTTACTAAAGTCTTCTGAATGCTAAAGTTTGATTTCTGGGGTGAGTGATCAGTTTGTTTATTGATGCATCAATAAAGTCCATTTCTTTTAATTTGTCAGCTAAAAAGGCATTTCTAGAAGGGATTCAGATTGATTACTAGAAAACTAGCTAGGAATTGGCCATATTAGTGTTTAGCAGTGGCAGGATCATGTTTATGTATATAGCATGTTTGGATGAGCTTGTGAAGTTCTTTCCAATGAGTTAGAAGTCTCACAAAACACAGGAAAAAGTGCATTGGTAATAAGGAATTCCCATTTTCTTTGGGTCTCTTGCAATAGAAAAGTCAGTAAAAACACTCTCATTGATTAGTCACATTAGACCTCTCCAAGTTGAAATGACTAGTGTTGTACCAACAGTAATCATTAGCAAACCTATTGCTAGGAGATCTATTTGTAAGAATTTATAGATCTTCAAAAGCTTGTTGTTTACCATTTTTACTGCTAGTTACAATATTTCTTATAAAATGTGTTTTAATGAGCAGCTGAGGAACAGTGCTAACAATCTATTTCTTTGTTTTAAGGACAACTTCCGTTCTCTTACAAAAGAAGCATATAGTCTAATTCTCAAAGATCTGCCATTTGAAACATTGCATGTTGAAGCAAAAGTGGCATTAGAAATGTTTCAGCATAACAGGTCAGTTTTTATTTCAGATTTAAGTAGAAATAGTAAAGGATTGCTAAAGGAAATATAACCTTTAAACATTTATTTATTTAAAGGTTATATTTCCATTAGCAATTCACTTGCTAAATCCTTTGTGTAAAATAGTATAGCTCCACTGAGTGTAGTAGAGCTAAAATAATACATACTATATTGCCTGATCGCTGGCTCCTAAATTTTCCTGTTAAATTCATACAGTAGGTGGCACTACAGTGCATAACTAAGAGGTGTTTAAGAAACTGAAACAATTTTTGTATTTTGTATCAGACCAGTGAAATCTTGACTTTCTTAACAGTATTTCAACATATGACTAATGATTAAATTCCACACATGCAAATTCATGTCAGTTTTGTTCTGTACAGCGTAGATATAGATGAGTTATTCAAATTCAACAAGGGAGTACAGGAAGTTTCCCTCTTATACCATTACATGTGGTAGATAGGTGGCTGGTTATGCTTGTCACTCCACCCAACTATCTATCTGCGAGTCAGAGTAATGTAATGTAATACTGACTTGGGCCTGGATTTTATCCCTGGCTCGGCCATGGTCTTTTTTTTTTTATCTCAGACAAGTCACTTTACCACTCTGTGCCTTTCTTTCTTTTTTCTTAGTCATGGGGAGAAAATAGGAGATACTAGTGAACTCTTTTTGATAAAGTGGAGAAAGGCATAATAACCTTTAACTGGAAGTTAAAGCTGAGTACAGGCAGTCCCCGGGTTACGTACAAGATAGGGACTGTAGGTTTGTTCTTAAGTTGAATCTGTATGTAAGGCGGAACTGGCATCCAGATTCAGCCGCTGCTGAAACTGATCAGCGGCTGATTCCAGGAAGCCCGGGGCAGGAGCTTCCTGTAGTCAGCCACTGGTCAGTTTCAGCAGCGGCTGACTTGGGGATGCCTGGGGCAGAGCAGCGGGGGTGCTGCTGGGTTGGTCCCGTAGCGCCGCTCTGGGCGCTACGGGACCAACCCAGCAGCACCCCCGCTGCTCTGCCCCAGGCGTCCTGATTCAGCCGCTGCTGAAACTGATCAGCGGCTGATTCCAGGAAGCCCGGGGCAGGAGCTTCCTGTAGTCAGCCACTGGTCAGTTTCAGCAGCGGCTGACTTGGGGATGCCTGGGGCAGAGCAGCGGGGGTGCTGCTGGGTTGGTCCCGTAGCGCCGCTCTGGGCGCTACGGGACCAACCCAGCAGCACCCCCGCTGCTCTGCCCCAGGCGTCCTGATTCAGCCGCTGCTGAAACTGATCAGCGGCTGATTCCAGGAAGCCCGGGGCAGGAGCTTCCTGTAGTCAGCCACTGGTCAGTTTCAGCAGCGGCTGACTTGGGGATGCCTGGGGCAGAGCAGCGGGGGTGCTGCTGGGTTGGTCCCGTAGCGCCGCTCTGGGCGCTACGGGACCAACCCAGCAGCACCCCCGCTGCTCTGCCCCAGGCGTCCTGATTCAGCCGCTGCTGAAACTGATCAGTTTCAGCAGCGGCTGAATCTGGATGCCAGTTCCGCCTTACATACAGATTCAACTTAAGAACAAACCTACAGTCCCTATCTTGTACGTAACCCGGGGACTGCCTGTACATTCAAATTAGAAATTGGGCACATGTTTAATCATTGGCACTATTTACAGAGAGAAGTGGTGGCTTCATGTCTTGATGTCTTCAGATCAAGGCTAGGTGCCTTTCTTGAAATTATGCTTCAGTTAAACACAAGTTAATGAGTTTCTTATCAAGATAACTGGGTATAATTCTGAGGGCTAGGTTGCACGATGGTGGTCTTTTCTGGCATTAATGTCTATGAATCTAGAAAGGCTTGTTTTTATTGAAAGTGTTTTTTTTTTCCACAAAATAAAATGAATGGAACTGCCTTGGAAGTGGATTGCCTCATAAATGGTATAGATGTTGTGAGACATGTCAAAAAGGCCATGAATTATTAGAAGCAACTTTCAATCCTTACCTTTCTTCTTATGCATATGGAACACCATTTAAAAAAAAAGTAGCTCCTTCAGTGCATGGCTCAAAGTTTCCCATTATTTTTCCTGTAATAATTTAATCCTGTGGTTAGGATTAGGTTCTGAAAGACTCCCATTGACTTCAGAGAGCTTCTGCATCAGACCCTTAGGGCTTGTCTACTCAGTGGAGAAGCTCAACGCTGATGCAGTCAATCTTCCGGAGTTCGAATTAATGGGTCTAGTGAAGACCTGCTAATTCAAACTGAGAGGGTGCACCTGTTGGCACTGCTGCCAACTGGTCCTCACTAGGATTAAGGGAAGTTGAGCGTGTGTTCCCATTGACCTCCCGCTGTGTGGATTGTGCCAAAACACGATTTAGGATACTCCGACTCCAGCTATGTAATTAATGTAGCTGGAATTGTGTATGTTAAGTAAACTGTTCATATTAGTGAAGATCAGGCTTTGTAGATTACAAAAAGAATATGAAGCAACTTGATTGTTCTTGCTTCCTTACATCTATAACTTTCTGTGGAAAATTTGTATGGTGTGCTGTTTTTCCTGGTTTTTAAAGGTACAAAATGGATTCAATAGAACAGAAAGCATCACAAAATCTTGAAAGAATAGTGAAGTTACATAGGTGAGTAAAACTTACATTTTGTTTTGTAATGATTCATAATAAGGTGCAGTTACTTTGCAAAATTAGGTGTATCTGAAAGAAATATAAATAACTTGGGATATATATTTAATTCAACTTTGCTGTATTCACTGATATGGCACTTTCTGGGTTAACTGCTTTCTAATCTTTATAATTTCTTTCACAACACCATTATTGTCATATTTAACTGTTGATTGGCCTCATTCAATTTTCCAGAAAGATTTTAAGATAGTGGGCTCCTGCTCTTCCCCCCCACCCTCCCATTTCTTACTGCTGGTAAATACTGAATAAAACCTCATCACTTGTAGAGTATTAAAGTAAGGTTCTACATTAATAAATAGTTCTTAACAATTTACATATATTAGAAGAAAATATTTTTTTAAATCAACTAAAATTTCCTGGTAAATCTTTTTATGTCATGCATTACTTACATTGGAGGTCCAAATGGAACTACTTAAGGTGTTAAAGGAAAGGAAAGTAGAAGACGGTTGTAAGAATCTGAATGGTAGAGGCAGAAATTGCTTGTGAGGGGAAAAAGTTTTTGTCATAGTCCGTGAGTTGTAAAAAAATCCATTTTTGGTTTAACCTCATGCATGTTGCTTTGACCACTGGATGTTTGTGTGTTTCCATGTGTGGTGGTTGTGGTCTGGAAGCTCCTTACAGAAAAATTGGCTTTGCGAAAATGTCTAGTTTTGGAATAGGTTTTTTCTTGGAAAAACTGTTTTCTTAGGGAAGTCTGCAGATTGGGGATTGAGGACAGAAGGGATGAAAGGATTGGCCAATCCTTGAAGGAAGAGAGCCATTTAAAGGTTGTTTTTTGTTTTTGTTTTTGTTTTTTTTTAATCTCCTATGTGTTGTATTTTTTCATGGTTTGGTTTATCCATTTTTTTAAAGCATTGACACTTCCAGAGAGATGATAGGGAAAGGCATCCTTGAAGTAATAAATAGAACTCTGTCAAAACTATGCACTTTCAGGAGCAGAGCCTCAGCACCCATTCTGAATTCTAGTTTTGAATTACTTAGATTCAGGTTAGGAAAATATACTAAAGCATACCGAACCTGAAGTTTTCAAGGGCACTTCTTCCCCAGATACCAAGAATGCTGAGTTATAGTGGAAGGTTTGGTTTGGGATTTGTGTGGGTTTTCTCTTGTGATTTAGACAGAGATTCCCAATCGTTTTCTGTAGATAAGCATTTACTCAGTGATAATGCAAAGATACTGGCATGTTAATAATGACAAAATAAAAACACATTCACAGTGAGTTTTATTGTGCTCCAATTAGGTTTGGTGACTTTGTAGACATTAGTGAAGGCCCTCACATTCCAAGGACAAGTTTTTGCTTCCAGTATGAAGTGACAGCTGCCCATAATCTCCAAACCAGTCAGCCTGCATCTGTACGAAGGTTCCAAGGTGTGTCTCTGCCAGTTCACTTAAAGGTAAGTAATGCATTCAGCACTAATGAACTTTTCAGGTCAAGTTTTACTTTGGAGCACTTCTGAGATCAGGACACTTGGTTATTCTTAACCAAGCCACCGTTTATTAACTCACCTAGAAAAACATAAGTATACTGTCAACAATTCATAAACCTAGTTGAGATATAGCACACGTTCTAGGCATGTGCTTAAACACAAAATACCTAGTCTGTCAAGTGATGAATAAAGACTAGTTTTGAGGTCAAGTACTTAAAACAGCGAACAAAACAAGTTACAAGATTATTTATAACATGTACTTCATAATATTCAATTATCTGGTCTTTAGTGCCTCTGATACATTTGTTACGCTTAAAATAATTCACCAAGGATTAAGGATACACTTGTGTCTTAAGGCATTTTGAATTGGCTGGATCTAGACAACCAGCTTAATCTTGGTACAGTAAAACTCCGATGGTCCGGCATCTGATGGTCCGGCACTCCTGATGGTCCGGTACCATCAGGAACCCGGAAGTGCTCTGGGCAGCCGGACCATTGGAGCTGCTCTACCCCCAGCTTCCCTGATTCAGCTGCTGCTAAAACTGACCAGCGGCTGAATCGGGGGAGCTGGGGGGAGGGCAGCTGGAGTGCTGCCCGGTTGGTGCGGTAGCGCTCA